GAAACGGTAGATTGAGGGAGGAAAAGAAAAAAAAAAAAGGAAAGAAATGAAGCACATTTTCAAGAAGCTACACAAAGGCCATAATCACGAGCCTAATCGGACCAACGAGACGCCGCCGCCGCCGCCGTCTCGCTCATGCGCCACCGATCATCAACGTACCATGTCCGGAAACTCTCCGACGAGTCCCTCGACGTCATCGCCTGCCCGGCTACTGTTCCGCCGAGCTCCGGGAACACTACAGCAGCGTCGACTGTGTCGGCAAGTAATAGTACCGATTACATGTTGTTGGAGGAGGAGTTCCAGGTTCAGTTAGCTCTAGCGATCAGCGCGTCGAATTCGGAGGATCCCGAGAAGGATCAGATCCGCGCGGCGACTCTGCTGAGCTTGGGCGGCCATCATCAGAAGGGTACAGGCAGGGATAGGGAGGAGGTGCTCGCAGAGGATTTATCAAGACATTATTGGGTGAGTGTTCGTCAACTTTCTCCTTACACATTTTGAGGTCGAATTGGATTCAAGTTGGAATGGACTTCGTAGTGTTGATGCTGGTGGATGGATTGTAGTGAATGAGCTTACTTAAATTAGGGGCTTTTGGTCTGTGCCTATAAGCGATTTTGAATTTCTGGGAATTAGAGCAAGTTACCATTGAATTGTGTAAATATGGCCATTCAGAGATTTTTTTTTTTTTTGGTGAAGTAAACTGTAACCTTGAGTATTCTAGCATCTTGGTTTTTTTGTGAGTTAATCCAGTGGAGTGAGCATGAGTTGGAGACAAGGACTCTGATTTAAAGAAGTGATTACTTAGGTAATGGTACTTAATCCTAGCTCTTCTGAGATCTGGCAGTGATCCATTTTTGGATGACGGCAATTAATGTTTTGGAACACTTAATGCTGAAACATTAATTTTAATTGGATTCAACAGCGTTGAATGTGCATGAATTAGGTTTGGATTGCTGATTAGTGTTGGCAGTTGCTGCTGGTTGGTTTTGGGGATTGATAGGGTTAATGCAATTTACTATCAGATTACGTAAAAATGCTGAATTGCAGCATCATGAAGTCTTTCAAGCTATGAAATTGTAGTGGATGAGGTTGAACTAAGGACTAGTAATTTTGTTTTGTTGGTTAAAGCCTGGAGTATGGGCCTTCCACAAATTCAGCACTCCAAGGAAAAATGCTATCTCTTGCAGATCTTGAGACAAATCTTGGGAATTCTGGCTTTGAAGTTGTGATTGTCAATCGAACAATTGACCCTGTCTTAGAAGAGTTGGTGCAAATTGCGCATTGTATTGCCCTGCTAGTAATGTTAGTGTTTTAGTCCAAAAGCTTGCCGAATTTGTTACAGGCCATATGGGTGGACCTGTTAAGGATGCTAATATAATGTCGGCAAGGTGGATGGAAAGGAGGACAGAATTGAGAACATCTCTTCATACAAGTTTGTTGCCTATTGGCCTATTGGGTCCATTAATTTAGGATTGTCTCGGCATCGTGCTTTACTTTTCAAGGTTAGTTATTTTGTTTTTTGGAAAAATAATTAGGAACTTACGTAGCTTTGTTAAAGTAATGTAGAGCATATTATGATTAACTTGCTTATGTGGAAAATTTGAAAATTTAATTAAAATAAAATGTAAGAACATGGTTAAAATAGCCTTTTCATCAACCTCTCACCTAACCCTTTCTCAGTTTTTTTTCTTTCTCTCTTTCATCTCTCAAAGAGAAAAAGGGGGGTGGTGGTTGTTGAGCTAAATGAGCTAAGCTCTAGCTCAAACATATATTGAACCAAAGCTTTAACTTTTAGATCAAGCTTGAGCTTCACTTTCATA